TGTCGATTTTAATGAGTCTAATTGCGCTTAATCAGACCTATTTAACGATAAATACCTCAAAATCAGTGCATATAATCATACACCTGGAGCAGTGAAGTATGCTGAGAGCTGAGTGCCTATAAACACTGAATCGACGCGATAATTTCGTGAGATTGGGAAGATATATTGTTAAGATATTCGGGCGTACCAGATCGGCTTGTTATTTCGCTCACGGGCGCTAGTGCATGATGATACGAGTACTTAACTGTAGACTTTGAGAAACCATCTCGTATGAAAAAGTCCGTCAAACGTGCAAAAATGACATGGAACGCGGCTTCTCAAAGCGAGAGCTGTGCGGACAGCTGGATATTGAAGATGATCTCAAGTAACAGAGATGGATGATGGTGGTTAGGAGGAAAGAATGGAAGTTGCCAGAAGTCAAGAGAAGTTGTCGCGTCATCTGATTCTTATCATCCATCAACACGATCACATGATCAAACCTAATTTGGCAACTCCGGACTCTCGGCGAGGTACCAGTGGCAGTGGTCATACCTTCAAGTTGACATGATCACAACTTAGAGGGCTTCGGTGGATAACATCCCCTGCTCAATCCTATCTAGTGCATCATCTGCACACTGCCCGTCTCCTCATACCCATATCGCGTCATGTTGCATCGCGAAATAAGCCAACAGTACCCAGCGAAACCTGGGACAACGAGGCGAGGTCCTGCAATGATTGGACCTCATTCGGAAAGATGGGAAGAGAGCATGCATGATACAAGGTTGCGTACTGGGTTAGTACGTGGACCTGCCGTATCTGTAGCCTGACCGCAGGTCGCCCCTGTATATTATAATTTATAACTTATAACGACTGCGAACAATCTTCAGATAATGGTGCTTATACTCAGAGTTCTGAACTGGCGTGTTTGGCTTTACGAGCTGGGCTAGTGTACCAGCGCGCGCTGGAGCATCAACAGGTTGGAGTTTTGAAGAACGCTGCAGTGGCCCACCCAGGGCTTCACGGCGATGGGGAAAGAACAGAAAATGCTTGGTACTGGGATAGAACACGCCCATAAGCAGGGTGTTTGTGGCATACTCGCTACATAGTACAATTTGTTTGTCCAACTACTCCACTGGCATATCGTACAAAGTCCCTTCCATAATATCCAAACCTAAAATTCTTTACATCTTTGCCTGATAGAACCCATCCCGACCCCACGATCCCGCTTCTTCACCCTCCCTCACCCTTCCCATGCTATTTGCAGCCAGCCCCGAAGCCCTGATAAACAGAGACCCGTCAAGTTTTTCCGCACCCGCAAGCTCCGTTGCAGCAAAGTCCGGCTGACCCGGCTCCCTCGTGCCATACAAACTAGAATAATGAGCCAGCGCGCGCTGGAGCTTCGGGAGGTGGTCGTCCGGGTGAACGACGCTCGTCTCGATGATGGGAAGCCAGGCGTTGGGCGTGACCGCCTTCGATGGGTCTTTGGGCTTGAGCGTGTTGCCTGGGGACGGAAGGCTGCCGGAGAGAAGAGGGTATAGGGAAGTTGCGTCATAGAAGCCGCCGATATTGAGGGCGGGCCGACCTCGGCTTACCCACCAGCCAATTGAGACCAGGAGGTAGCCGCGGAGGAGATGCTCCTGGGAGGAAGGTTTCAGGTAGGTGATGTACGATGCGAGGAAGATGGATGAGGTGACGAGGTGCATGCTGATGTTTCATGGATCAGTATCGTCACGAATGAAGTTCAAGGATATACGCACTGGAAGAAGTCAGCATTGAAGGGCTTGTCCTTGGACCAACCACCGATGCCGAAGAGTACAGCATTGACCCAGCTGAGTTCGTGGACCCTACGCTCAACCTCATGGGGGTTCGTTGCGTCGACACCCCAATCGGCCATGTGTTTAGCGATCACCGATGCGTGGGTTTTCATCGTGTGTACAAACATCCCAACGCCTGTGTCCTCGACCTTTCCAAGTTCCGGATCGTTCAATACGCGTTGCAAGACGGTGAAGGCATGGGTGCCGTGGCCGTTGGCCTTCGCGTCGGGTGGCGAAACGTGGAGTGACGACAATCGAGAGACGGTGTCTTCCGTTCCGTCGGGGTAGTCGAAAAAATCATCAGGAATATTAGCAGACGACGAGTCGGAATGAACAGCAGCCTCCGACAAGCCTGGGCGCTAATTTAGACTCGCATGACGTCATACTCTGAAAACCGCACACCTTCTACGACCATGCCTGGAAGACAGAACTCGAGCCCATACCCGATGTGGATCATGGGATGAAGGAGACCGCCGAGGAAGCGATTGAACACATCGGGTTTCTTGCCAGCAGAGGGGACGAGGTTTACATCCTTGGAAAAGATGTACTTCTCGACAGCCGCTGCAATCCCATGGTCACGGATGACTTGAGTAAAAAAAACTAGATAGCCTCCATAGAACCTGGGAGGATATCGATCAGATATTATACGAGCGATGCCACATTAGAGTGTGAAAACTTACTGGCGATCTCCGAGGTGATCTTTGAAATTCTTCTCTGTGATCTGCTCAGGTGGCCCGAACGCAGGGCGTTGGTAGGTGCTATCAGCTGCATAGCCTGCCTTAAGGAGATCTCCCGCAGCTCCAAGTGCCCAGTTCGCAATCGCTCGATGTGCGATGTGACTAGTAAGGAAACATCAGGCTTGCATCACCACGAATACAGTGCCGAGGAAAACATACTTGTGGAACCCGCTGTCGTTGAAGAAGATGTGCCACCTATCGTGATTGTCTTTCAAGACCTCCCGCAGCGCCGCAGTTGATTCTGGGCTGATCCCTGGCCATCGCTTGGGCACGAGGGTCGAGGGTGGAGACGAGGGAACGGGAAACAGATCGGAGATGCTCTCGTCGCTGGTACCCATGATGTTGAGCTGAGACTGAGACTCGTGAAGGGTGAGTGGAGCTTCTGCGACTGCGCAGGTGAGAACTTATGAACCTGGCACGGTCTTTGCTTTCTAATGTTGTCACGAGCCGAGAACGGTCATGCATGATCATTACCAGAACACGTCTGTATGTCATCATTATATATACCGGTCGTGTCGGCACGCTGCTTTGCTTACACGGAGGTCGTACCTGAGCGTGCTCAGTCGAGAGGCACGCATGTAGTCCAGGACAGTAATACCGTGCGGATCTGGTGATGGTAGACTTGAACGAAGAAGTTATGGCTGTCTTCGGTTGTAGCCGAGCTTTGATTCGGAGTCTTATTTTAATTCCGAGTCCGCCAATCTGTGCAAACTGTAGTCATGGACATCGAAATCCTGACCGACAAGTCCTTCTGCATAATTCTAGCAAGGGTAGTCCAATGTTGACCTGACCAGTGCCTCTTTTTGATATCTGGGGCCTTGAGTTCTCTTTGATACACAGTTCTGCTCTCTCGATCGCGATCTGCTATGCTGCCGACGTACATGTCCACGTTTATCAACGCCTAGCTCATTCGGGGCGTACATTCTACCCCCAATAACCAGCTCAAGGCGGCCTCGTAAATTAAAAAGGGGTCATTGATTTCAATGCAATGTTCTTCAGGCGTACTTGTAAGCGCAACTTGCGTCTAGATCGACTGCAGGGTTGGGATTATCTGATGCGGCGTTGGACGCTTTAAGTGAAACCTTTCCAACTGCTCTCGACGGCCGATCTAGCTTTGTAAATCCAAGAGGCGCCTTTCATATTGTGCCATTTTCTTCTGACATTCCCTGAAAACGCAAGTCGCGACTGCGAACTTGGAAGCATCTGGTTCTTTCATGCGGCATTGAATGCTTTCAACATTTCCAAGCCGTGTTACACAAGACCAGCGCGGCTTTCCTATGAGCCTTGAGGCGATGTGTAGCCCATTTTCTTGCTTCGCTGAGGTGTAACATTCTCCCATAATCCTGTCGAACCGCTCAATTGTAAACACATGTGATAGATTCATTGGATGACCCGCTCGGTCAATGTTTGTATGTAGTAGATCGTGTTCCACTAATGTATGGTTGATTAGTCCGAGTGGAAGTGTATTTGAGGAAGTAATTTGAATGATACATATATAATATAATAGAGGCTAGTAGAAAGTTTGGGGCATATTGATATGTAGGAAAGTCAGTAGGCAAGAATCGTTGATATAAATTGACGCGACAAGTCTGGAGTCATGATCGGAAAGACGTTCGGGGCCAACACCGCAAGAGGGGAGACACAGTCAGTAGCAACCTATACAGTCGTGGCACGCTATCCAGGCGCTGTCAAATGGATTCCCATGAGCAATGTGCCAGTGATCCACAAGAATAAACCACGCGACTTACCTCTCCTTATTCTCCGTACAGCACCCGCGACACACCGTCCTCCCGCACCCCGGCGCGAAGTCCTCCTCCACCATACTCTCCTCCTCCTCCTCCTCGTTCGCGACTTTTCTCCTCTTCTCGCCACGGCTTAAATTTGTGTTGATGGAGTGCAACGAAAGGGCCGGGCGCCGGGGGGATGGGGGTAGAGTGGGCGTCGGAGAACGCGTCAGGTAGGGTGTGGGTGGCATCGAGGATGGGCAGGCTGTGCATGTGCGTGAACAAATCGCGCAGGTCGGGGAGGCGCATCTGTGTCGATTATTAGTGGCCTGTAGAATGCTGGAATGGTGAAAGGCATCACCTAGCACAAACTACGAGCAGCCCCTGGCCCTGCGCGGCATTGAGGGCGCGGTGGCATGATACACAGCTGGGTATAGCATTAGCGGTGGTGGCCGGCGCTGAGATTGTTACAGGTTTCGCGAGGACGTCGAATTTGGAAGGGGAGACGGTGACGGTGAGAGGTGAGGAGAGCTTTCTACGCTTGAGAGGACGGGCAAGGCCCATGTTGGCGATGGATGGGGGTTGGGTCATTAGTAGGGATTTTGTTTCTTTGAAGTCAGCAGCAGTTATTGAAAACATGGTGGCTTCCACATGTTCGTTGGTCAAAGATTGAAATGACTTGAAAGACAGTGCACGGAGTACGGTCCGGAAAGAGCTCAAAAATGCTCAAAAGTTGAAACGAAAAATACACCGAAGGGGAGTCGAACCCCTGCCGCTTGCTACCGATTTGGATGACCGACCTGAATGGAAGGCAAGCATGATAACCGCTTCACCATCGGTGTTATTATATGGTTGTTATCAATATTGCAGGTCTGGTCGCTATCTTGTCTTGTCTGGCCATCCTGTTGTGAGAACCGGAGCTTTCCTTTTCGGCTTTGGACGCGATCCACCATGCAATGTATCCTCCACATGCAGCTTGAACTCGGTTATCCAGTGGATTCGCTCGCAGCGGCCGAATCTCAACTCAACCCCCTTCTATGCGGTGCTAGCTCAGCTCTCAGCATCGGCGACAAACTTAAAAGAACGGACACCGTCTATGATATTGTTGTCACTAGTTGCAAGCCTCAACTATCGAATCTAGATAGCAGATGCATACATGTACGGATTTCCTCTTGAAACCTTGCCATATACTTCGTCTGTATTGATTGAACGACACAGCTTTCGTACCTGGAACCTGATCAATCCTCGAGCACAGACGCCCATCTCTGTATCAACAGCTTCTAGCCATCAATAGACCCCTCGTCTCTTACTCTAGCCTCCCATGCAAAACTTCAGGAAAGCCGCCCTCCACCTCACGAAGAAACTCACCAACGGGTACACAGAGAGGGAGAATATGGTCCTGGATGCAACTTCCAATGACTCTGCAGCCCCCTCCCGCTCGCAAATGCGCGAAATAGCGCTGATGACTTACAAATAGTGAGAGTTCTCAGCGTGCTCTAGAAAATCATCCTAACTTTATGGCTGCTCCTTGTGTGCAGTGATACCTTTGTCGAGGTCATGGAGATGTTGGACATGCGCCTCAGCGATATAGGGAAGAATTGGCGCCATGTGTGGAAGGTCCATCCTCAGCCTTCCGCGTGTGCCTTTGCTAATCCACGCATCCACACCAGAGCCTAATGGTACTTGAATACATCCTTCGTCGAGGCTCCGAAAACGTGCTTCTCTTCCTGCGTGACAACATCGAGAATATTCTCATGTTAGGGAGATTTGAATACATCGACAACACTGGGGAGGACCACGGCGTCCATGTCCGGCAGCAGGCCGCCGAACTCGTCAGGCTCGTGAGGCGTGACCCTCGTCATCGCGAGGAGCTTTATAACGTCAACGTGCATGAGGTCAACGGGAGTGTGGGCAGTTCCGGCCGTCACCGGCGAGTGACGAACCACATAACAGGGACCCGGGTAGATCCCACGGAGTTTATCACGGTCATCCAAGAGAGATATAGAGCGGAAGAGGGGAGCAAGACCACGATTGAGGGGAGTAGGGAGGCAACCGAAGAGAGTGAACCCCTACGTGACATGAAAACTTCGTTAGAGCAATCCCCTGTCAAACAGAGCGAGGAGGTGGGGAGCTACCTCAACAAGCCGTATCGGGATGTAGAAGATCTGATCTGGCTTGGCGGAGACGACGAGCGCATGCAAGGAGTGGAACAGCATGTGGAGGAAGTGGAAATTGATGTGCGGCGCACTTTTGTCTACCCCGACAGGCAATTTCAGGGTGCGGAGGGTCTCGAGGAAGATCGTCACATGGAGGGAGTGGAACATCAGGCAGCGATGTATGAACCATTCTTGCAGTGGACAGGCGAGCCACAATTACTGCCATCGGAGATGCAACGCCAGGACGCCGACAACGATGTGCCGCGGCCAGGATTCGGAATGAACCAGGTAGAGAATATGGACGTATCTGCGATACCCAATGACCAGAATCATTTGTACGTTGCACAGATCTATCCTTATTCTGAAAAGAAGGTTCTCAACATGTGCTCCAGTCTACCTACAACTACCCGAATGAATACCTTCCTCCCTGGGGCGAACATGGCCCTGCCGACGCCCCAAATCGCCACACGGCGACCCCAGTTTGCGTCGTCCAATCCATTCAAGCTACAAGCAGAGCAGGAGGCGGCACAGGCTAACTCCCTGCAGCAACAGCACATCTATAACCACGGGAGAGACCAGAGCGAGAATATTCATTTTTTCAAGCCGCTTAATGATGTATTGTATGTTACATCCCCTTCCTTCTATTGTAAGGAGTCCTTTCCCTCATTGCACCTTATACAGGCCATCGCACAGTACCGACTCCGTGCCCTACACGACGTTGTACAACCCAGATGTCAGTCTGTACCAGCACTGGCAGGGGATATCGGAGGGAGACTACACGCGCCAGGTGCAGCTACACTTTCCCCACAGCCAGCGAGAGGGACGGCCACAGCACCACCAGCTTGCGCTGCTGCGTCGTCGTGAAGAGTGGGCAAGGCAGCATCTCATACAATCGCAGCAGCAACGACAGCATGCTCATTTGGACGAGACGTGGAAGGCAGAGCTAACCTTTTTCTCGCAGCCTCGGCGAGGGCCTCAGCAGATCCAACAACAGCCCATTCCGCCGCAGCCTACCGACGGGGCCGAGGTATATCACTCTGAACCTAAGCCATTCAAGACGACAGATTCATTGCAAGTTCGGAGCAACAAAACCTTATACAAGCTCGTAGCAATCCTCAACGAGCATCGGCATTACCAAAGTCTTCTGAAATGCAACAGCTCTGATGCTCAAATCATTCTTGAGCTGTGTCAAATGGTAAGCTACCATAAAGTACTCCCTCGATGTCGTTGATTTTGAAATACATTTCTTCAGCTTCTTGATTCTTATGAGGTTGCAAGCGATATTCGAAGGCAGATCGTCACTGCAATGCAACGGCTCGCGGCAAAGTCAAAGACATTTCCGTCGTACTTCTTCATCCACGGGCCTATATCTCTCGCTCACGAAGACGCGATCAGTTCAGGCAGTTTTGGAGACATCTACAAGGCGACTTTACACACTGAGACTCTGTGTTTGAAGGTTCTGAGAGCTAATCGGTCAATTTTGGAGAAGTTGGCGAAAGTATGCCAGCTACATCCCCTTCTTCTAACTCGAAGCCATTATTGATGTTGCCGTGTTATAGTCTTTTGCTAAGGAAGCCATATTGTGGAGTCAACTATCCCATCCCAATGTCCTTCCTTTCTACGGGCTCCACGTCTTTCGCTCCCAACTTTCTTTCGTCTCTCCTTGGGCTGAAAATGGAAATATAATGGAATTCTTGACCCAACGA